TGCATGCAAAGGCTACCTTATGAACTCATGAAGAATGACTGATTTGCAGCTCTGGTGAAGGAACTGTGGGAATATGGGTACTCTGGGTAATGAGTGAGATAGTGAGGATTTCAAAGGCTTAGAAATGAACCCAGAGGATCAGATCTTTAGACAAATGTTGCATCCTCCTGCATATCTTGGACATCTGCATTTCATTGCTCTTCATATCCCTTCGCTCTGATAATCACAGGGATCTAATGAATTTCCTGATTCATTTTTCCTCTCCCAAAGGTTTTCCCACTGGAGACGAGAGCTGGCTACATCTCTCAATCTCACCGAGATAACCATTGTCTCTAGTCTCCAGTTAAATTGATTTTGGAAAGAGCAAGAAGTTACTTCCACAAAGTAATTCCTGTTTTCCAAAGCATTTTCTCAGTTAAGCTGGAGAGATGATCTGAAAAGGGGAGGGAAGGTATTGCAGGATGGAGGTCTAAAGAAAATACAGGGCAAACTACACATCTTTGACAATCAGTCAGCTGGTTGAACATCATCAGCTTCTGAGGGGAGTTGAAGTGTGAGATTCATTTTGGATTCCTGGCTGCCTGTAATTAGATGCATTAGAAGAAAAATCTGTTGGCTGTCTTGTGTTCTTGATGCAACAATTGCTCCTGGCTCTGAATTCGGGAAATATTGTTTAAAAAAGTGTTATTTATTGGTGCTATACTTCGCATTTTTAGGTCATCCCATCATCAGGTAGGTCAGACTGTCAATACATTTCTGCAATAACTTTTTGCAGGAAAAGCTTCTGATTTAGAAAGGTTTGTGCACGCAAGTAACTTTATTACCAAGGTCTGTGCAAGTCATTCCTGTGCATAAAGCTTTTCATGAGCGGAGTGTTTGTAAACTTGACCCCTTGGTTCGTGTTCATCCAAACAATGTCATACAGAAACTGGCAACTATTTTGGCAACAGAGAGGTTCTGTTTATGTTTTGCACAACCCTTTTCTCCAGCAGGCAGGGTATTTCTGTGTGTAAAAGTCCCCATCCAGGCTCTGAACGGGATCTCCACCACCAGGATAAAGAAGCTGGTTTCTTCTGGAGGACTTCTAAAGTCCCACAGCGTCATAGAGCAAGGATAATCTCTCCAGGGGTCAAGGAAAAATGTGTTTAATTACATGACATGTCACACTTTGTGCAGAATTACTTTTTTTTGGTTAGCACCAACCATAGATTTCCATGTCTAAGCAGAGCCCTCTGCAATGCTGCCAGCTGTCCTGCTCACTCTCCCATTCCTTTGCATTCCCTAACCTGGAAGTGTTCCTGATGCAGGGCAAGGGGAGCCCACCGAGCTCTCGCTCCCTCCAGCAAGCAGAGTGACTTTTGTCACCATATCCCCAAGTAAATTGCAAAAGCTGTTAACATTTTCATAGGTGGTTGCATAATGCTGTTGCATAAATGTCTTTGACAGATTAATGCATTTTACACAGCTTCTCTAGAAAACAATATTAGTATCAATAAATGAAAAGCAATGCACTGCATTATGGGTTACAATTTATAATTTATGTTTCTATTAAAATCTGTGACCCATCGTAGCAGCACTGTAGATACATAAGTCAGTTTTTGACTGGTGGGCAGGTTGAAACAAATTTCTGAACTTTTCCTGTTGGCCTCTCAGTGCTGTGGGGAGGGTGACATGATAACCCTCACCTCTCGCAGGTAATGTTACTTCTTTGCAGGAAGTCAGGCTAACAGGGATCACTACTTTTGTT